AGTCCAACCTCTTAAACTCTGCTTAATGGAAGTGCTCTGAAAAGAGGTCTTACCCTGCGGTCAAAACCGCGTATGTGAATTATGTAAATTACTTTCTAGAGAGTAAAAACACTCATATTTCAAAATGGTTCTCTTTTTTAGAAAGCAATCGTATTTCTGGCTAGTCAGTATCAGTTTTACTTCTTTCGCAGTCCGTGCACTGTGTCCAGGTCTGACAAAACAACAAACAAAATATAAAGCTAGTAGTTGGCTAGATTCTGCGAAAGATTTACGGACCTTTACGCGTTGGTGATGGCGAATATCGCTGTATGAGCTTTACCACGATATATGTAGACATAGTGCGGCGAATTAAAATTCAGCGGCTCCGCTGGCTTGGCCATGTCGTTCGAATGGACAGAAACGCTCCTGCTCTGAAAATATTCAACGCGGGCCGCGATGCTGGTAACAGAGGGAGAGGAAGGCCTCCTCTGCGTTAGAAAGGCCAGGTGGAGAAGGACTTGGCTTCACTTGGCATTTCCAATTGGCGTCGGTTAGCACAGAAGAGAAGTGAATTGTGTGCTGTTTTGGACTCGGCCTAAATCGCTTAGGCGGTTACAGCGCCAATAAAGAAGAAGAAGAAGTTAGCACTAGTGTTCGCGTAAACAGATTAATATTAGGTATAAGTTAACGTCATTCCCTGCAAGGTACCCTTTACAGAAGAATACGTTTTCCTCTTAAACATCCTCCAATATTTGACAGCGTTTGGAAATTGAACTTTCTTCGTGATAAATTCGAATATCTAAAGAAATAAATTTAGCATTGTAAAGCTCTTGAGATAGAAAATTCACGAAGGATAATTTAGTTGGATAAACAGATTTATTTGACCTTTCAAATGACCTTCAAAAATAGGTGGTTTTAAATTTATTTCCATTTTTTATCTGAAAATAATATGCATTCAACTTTTTAACAAGTTTTCAACAAATCTATATCTATGTACATATGTATATAATACGCGAAGACATTTTTTGTGCAGCATAAAAGATCTGCACCGTTCGTTCGATTTTCAAAAATGGGTTGTCAAATTAAAGCGCTTGGCCAGTAGATGTGCAAACTGGTTTTATGTTTTCGAAAAGAGTTGCCACCTGTTGAACAATTAAAATAAAATAAAAACCGATTTTCAAAGGTGAGGTGTCAAATTCAAAAGCTCGGGCTGTAGATGTGCAGTAAGGCTTAACTTTTTCCAAAAGAGTTGCTACCTTTTAAAAAAATTGGTTCAAATTATTTAAAAAGTTAAAAAAATTATTACAAAATGGGTATCAGTCGAAATGGGTTTGAAACGCTTTGTTTCATAACTTAACTGAAGGAGGATTGCCACCTGTTTTAAAAAAATTAAATCCAGTTTGAATTAGGTAATAGAAAATGTATGGGCCCTAGACGGAAAGGTTTAATAACGTAGTAGTTTGTAAATATTTTGCAGAGGGTTGCCAGCTCTTTGAAAAGTCGAATTTAGATAATTTATACAAAATAAAATGTGCTAAACAAAAGGGTATTAAGAAATCTTTATTATTAACACTTAGAATATGTTTGAGGTGTTTAAAGAGGGTTGCCACCCGTTTAAAAAATTAAATTGCAATTATTTAATAAGTTATTGAAATTACTAAAATATTGGTTTTAAACGAAATGGTTGTGACAAGGCTTTATTTTCGAACCACATTAAGAGTGTTGCCACATGTTCAAAAAATCTAATTCAACTTAATTTAATAGGACAAAGGTTGTTTAAGTAGGTTTTACCTACTACTTTTGAAGAAGATTGTCATCTTTTCAAAAACTCGAGTTGAATTAACTCTAAAGCGAAACAACGTCAAGAAATCTTTAGGTTAGACATTTAGAATGTTTGAATAGGGTTGCCACGTGTTTAAAAAGTGGCATTCAAATTATTTAATAAGTTGGATGAATTATTAACAGGTTTTCAATGGGTTGCCACGTATTTGAAAAATCAAATTCAACTTAATTTATCAGTGAATTTAAACACATATGTGTCGCAATGTTGGACGAAATATATTTTAGAAGATTTGTTTGAAAATACGTTTTGATAAGGATTTACACTTATTTTGGTAGTCAAATTACTTAAATTAACTTATACGCAAATTTTATGAAATATAAAAAATATGCGAAAGGGATTTATTTACTTTAAAAATATGGTTGATCAGTCTTGCCACCTTTTCGAAAAGTCATACCATTCTAACTAAGTATGTTTATGTATTAAACGAGAAGAAATTTTTATTAGGGCCATTAGAGTTGCACCATTCTTTCAAATTTCGAATATGAAAAGTCTTAAGTAAAGACCTTGGCATGTAGATGTGCGATAGGATTTTATTTTTTGAAAAGAAAACTTTTTGTCGGTACAGGATGATCTAAAATTTGATGATATTACAACTGACACAACGCGAGACCTCTCCGCGTTACGAATTATGATGAAATATGACATTTGGGTCGCTTATAACCAGGGTTGCCACTTTGGTAAATTGTTACCAAAATTGGTAGAAAAAATTTGGGTCGGTAAAAAGGTACATTTTTTCTCATTTTGGTAGATTTTTGATGAACTTTCCGTTCCCGATTTATTTTTCGTAGTTATCTTTAAATATATTATAAATTTCTTTGCATACTTTTAATATAATTACATACGTCTAAATGTATATCGATATAAGGCGAACATATCGTGCTCTATTCAGAACTAATTTTACTGGAATCCGGAGGAGCTTTTGATTGCCTAAATATTTTATATGATTATTTAAATATAAAGAAAAAATTTACAGGTATGTAATTACGCACTATGATTGTTCGCAAAAAAAAAATTAAATCAACGCCATTTTTTATCAAGGGAAAAAAATTAAAAAAATCAACGGGAATTTTAAGCAGCACATTGTTGGCTACACTCAAATAGTATTTGCTCTTAAAATTCAGAGTAAACAATTCGAAATTTAGACGAAAATTTTTGGATTTTTTCTATATGTTGTATATAGTTTGAATCCTCGAGTTTTATGGATTTAGTTGAAGCAATAAAAAAATTTTACTCGAAAACTATTGCGAATATTAAAAAAAGAAAATTTTTTTGAGTCACTGTATTTGTCTATAATAACTCGAGTTGCAGTTTTTCAAATAATGAAATTGCATTGTTGCCTTTATTTTCATCACTTCCGCTTTTGGTTGAAAGAAACTCAGAATATGACAATAATATGACTCAAATACCGTATAACTAGCTAAATAAAAAGTTCTTAAAAATAATTTTAATTCTTATTGAGATAACTAAAAAAACTTAAAAAAAAAACTATTGTTTTAACTAAAGTAAATAAAAAAATAACAAAACTATAGTTTTTATTAAAATAATTATAAAAAAGTTATTGGTAGATATTTCCCAGATTTGGTAGATTTTTTTCAAGTGGATGGTAAATATTTTTTTTTCATCTGTGGCAACCCTGCTTATAACTCTAAATAAAATTTGGATTAGTTTCTAAATTTTTTAATCAAAATGTTGGGCGTTCTAACGCCTTGCGGGTTCACTAGTGTTTTTTATATTCCTTGTATTAAGATGTCGATTTCCGTGGTCGTAGAAACCGAAAAGCGCATTAATTTTTTTAAGAGTTCACTAAATGCTTTTTTAGGTCAAAAAGAGACAAAAAAACACAAAAAATGTTACTTTTGTAGGCCGAGGTAACTTCTAATTCAATGTATGTAATTTGTTGTATTTTTTTAGACTTAAAGCTGCACTTAATGCATCCTTAAAAAAATTTGAAATGGTTTTAAAATTTGTTTCGATAGTTGTTTTCATTATCGAGATATAAGATTTTATTATGAAAAATTTTAAATTTCTACCCTCTGAGCCCCACACAACTTTGGCGCTTCTTGTTTTATATATGTACATACTTCGCATGCGGTGCAAAACTATGCTGTCATCAATCGTGATAATAATAATATTTTGGCGCTTACACTTTTCCTAAGTCTTTGGCCGAGCTTATCCTCCAACTTGTGACGCGCCTCTTGATGTTGGTACACAAACGGAGGGACCTACAGTTTAGCTCTAAAAATTTTATACTCAAAAAAATCCCAATACTTCTGAGAAAAAAGTTTGAAATTTGGAGTAAAATGTATTGAATTTTTTTTACAAAGTTTTAAACTTGGGTTTTGTTAGAGAAGTAACTGTATTTTAATTGAAAATTCTTAAAAATAAATAAAAAGGCATAAGGGGAAAAGAATATTAAACAACAACCGCTCCGCCGTTTTCTGGCACTATTACCATGTTTTTTTTTTTTTTTTTATTCAATTTCTTTCTAGTCTTTAGCCACCATAAGCAGTATAATGACGTCTGCGAATCCAATAATTTCAGCACCGGTAGGGAGTGCAAGTCTGAAAACTGCATCGTACATTACCCGTTCCAATTATCCATCGCATTCAACCTAGCAGAACTTAAATTTGACATAAATTCGCCGCACAGATCTAGCGGTGTTAAGTTTAAAATTAATTCCATCATCTGCTGTTTCTCTTTCATTTCGGCTTCGAATAAATTCTTGGTTAACGCGCGCCACCCGACGTAAGAAAGAAATTCTTTAAGCTCATTTTGCTAGCATCTAAGTATAACTAAATTTATGTTATATTTGAATATTCTATTGGTTACATACTCGTACCTCTTAAAAAAACACTTCGCAAAGCCAATTTGTGTCGCTTTAAATAGATCTGAAACCTGTAGTAAATTATAATTATAAGGCCTACATTCAGGCGCGCAGTTATTTACATTTAACTTTATATATTTTAGAAAAAGCTTAATAAAGGTGAAAGCATACGAAGACACAACAAAAGTAAAACGAGAAAACAATGCTTTTGCAAATAGCTTTTGTAAATATTTTTATGTATGTATATTATACAAAAAAAACCTATTTAATTCCTGCTTGCGCAGTTCGCTACATCGCCAACATACTTTTCCTTTCTCTTTTTAATTTCCACCCCATACCATTGCATACTTACAGGCACCTGTAAGCAGCCTCTCGGCATGGAATCCGGTGCCATTGCTGATACGCAAATCACCGCCAGTTCAGCACATGACATGGGCAATGTGGGCCCACAACATGCCAGGTGAGTACCAAGGACATGAAAAGCCAATTCTTGCTTTAAATTGTTTGATTTATGGTTGTGTAAGTGTGTGTGTGTGTGTGTGTGTGTGTGTATTTGACTTGACATATTCATATCTCTGTTAAGCAAAATTCAAAACCAACAGCCACAGCGCCACCCGGATGGTAGCACAAATGAGGAGAAATGACAAAGGACAAAAACAAATATACTTACTATTGTACTCTAATATGTAGTAGTATGTTAATATATTACCACCAAAAGCTGTAATACCAAAAGCTGTAATAGTTGATGCGACTTGATTGGAGACTTTTAAATTCAATGGCGTCACCCGTTTTGTCAGATTAGCTCCAGATGTCCCCAGAGATAACGGTATTTGAAGTTTCACTTGGGCTTCTGCGAGCTCATTTATGTAGGAACCATTTTACATTATATACGTATTTCGAAATCTAAAGCCAGTTAGATTTAACTAAGTTTTTTATATTTTTAATATTTTTGTACAACTTTTTTTTTGCAATATTTTGAAATGAAATACAAATTTCAATAAACGCATTAAATGTATTGTAAGCTGAATTGGAGGCAATCTAAAAAACGCCCTTGAATTTTGAGGCCCCCAATGAAGTGGAATCTATTATTTAAATCTTTGTCAAAAAAAAAAGTAAATAATATTTGAGTTTTATTTTTTTCACTTAAAAGAAATCATTACATATTACTGGATTTTTAATTAAATATAATGATTATTTTATGATATTTATTTTTTCGCTCAGAGATACTTATTACCTACGCTAAAATGCCACAAAAAACGGTGAGCTTAATTTCGGGTCGATTCTTGTCGAAAAATTTTAATACATTTTTTACCCTTTTAGTTACCCTATTTCTTATGTATGTATATGTTTTTCTTTTTGTAACTTTCTTTCTTTGTAAATTTTGTTCATTCCTTTGCTGGGCCAAATAATCAGCGTTTATGATCCTGAGTTAAGCAAAGGCTGGTTTTCAATTGCCATTTTTTTTTTGAAGATTCGCATGAAAATACATTTTGCCGATCAAGAATTTGTGTCAAAAATATTGGATTGTTTAGGGACCATGTAATTTGAAAAAGATCCAACTAGCTGCTCTACTGCTACTACCTGTTTAATATGCCTTCATATCCGCCTATTTCTAAACGACGATTTGGCCGCAGTTTTGAACAAATTTTGGAAACTATAAAAACTCTCCTCATATACAGAAAACTACCTTACCAATGCGAGGGTAGCCTTGATACCCTCGTAAATTTTTGAATGCATTCTCATCTTTGCTTACTAAGTACTCAAAGAGTATCTCAGTATGTGAAAACTGTTTATATGTATGTGTCTGCTTTGACACGTCCTTCTTCAAGCTGCAGAAGATCTATATACTGTGGCAGATGATGCTAGTGTCGCCTGCCTACGCCAGCAACGTCGAGTCTTTCTGTTAATGCATAGATTTTTGCCGTTAATAAATCAGATAGACAGCTCGTAATACTCTTTTCAACAACATGAAACGTGAAATGATTTTTCCAAACTTGCATTGGTTCCTTAAGACTCGAAGAGGGTCTTTATTTGAGCGTAGCGTAGGCTTGGCGTCACTAAGGAGCTTTTTGGGCTTAAAATTATATTAGCATAGTAGAAGTTAAATAAAAGTCAACAAAATGGTGGCCTGCGTCAATGTGCTTTTCTAAAGTATTTTCCGGAAAGTGCGAACTACAGTTGTCCGACCCAAAATCACTCTGGTTTTTACTGATTTTGAGTTATATTATGGCTGTTTTAACCCAATCTTCTTATGGGTCTTTCTTTCATGGCAATGGGAAAATCATTTCTTGTTGCATCAAGGTAAATAATTTTGGTTCATTAAATACCATTTTTTTTTGCTTTCTTGCAAATCTCAGTTCAGAAATAATTTTGGTTGGTTCCAAATTGCTGCTCATTACTTTGCATCATTTCATGGTTGTATGAAACATGAGCTGGTCTGGTGATCTTTCTGAGTGATGATTCTGTGCTGGACGGAATTGTTGAAGAGAAAGTGCTATATTAAGTCACCCCTCTTCTGGGATTCATATTATAGGCCTACCCAGGAGGAATTTACTAACCTTTAGAAGAATTCAAAACTTATTCCTGTAGTTAGTCTGTAATGAAATACTTGGGCTCCATCGTGTGACAAATCCTAAAAATTTTCACTTTTCAAAAATATGGAGAAAGGTTTCGGTTAATTAAATACCACGGCCAGTTCAGTCAGTTCAGCCGATGGCTTCGGATATAATACTGTCTAATTGTTCTACTCTACATACCTCTATTTAAGTTGTTCGACTTCCGAAAGATGTATAGAGAGAAAAAGAGATTCTAATAAAAAATTAGAGATTTAAATTTCCATTTCTTCTGCGCTTTTCCATTTACCAACAACCAAAGTGTGTAAATTCATAGCGACGCTACAATGGCGCAATCAACCGAATACATACACATACATAACACACCTCCGCTAGAAGTCAAATGTTGACAATCGAAAGCTTGCATGTCACTAGGCTAAAAGTGAAATGACTAAACCCCCCCCACCACGCTATGTCAGCCTTCGACTTTAAACCTTTGCTAGTGTTATTTTTTTTTTTCTCAGACTCCAACATATTTTACTGTCTCTACTGTCTTCGCATTTGTGCGTCACTTGCCTGCTGGCAAATTTATTGTGTCCTTTGTTTGAAGGCATACATACGTTTGCCTACGGAGTATTCGACTGATTTATCGCATGCGCATAAAAGTATGCAAAAAGAGAAGTAGAAAAAAAAATGGCACACAAATGGATAAGCGACGATGAGTGTATCAAAAATAAAATTGTAATTATTTAGAAAGCAGTGACATTTTTACAACATAAAATGTCAGTGCGTATAAATCAAAAGGTCATAAATTGATATGAGTGGAAGGGGCGGCGCGGCGCGGCGTGGTAGGCAAAAATTTAGTAGATACAAAAACATGAAAATGAAGACGGAGGGCGGTAGGGGAGGGGGGTGTGTGCATGGCGTGCGCATGGCATGCTTAATGGTACCAGTTAGTGGAATCGTTTAGTGACACAGTGGGTGGGCGTATGAGCACAAATATGAGGCATATGGGAGGCATATTTTTAGGCGCATAAACGTCTTGGGAGCAAGTTGGGTGTAGTAAATATTTCAGTTACTTATTATTATTACATTTTTGTGCATGTTTTTTCACTTGGTTCCTTTTTATGCAGCTATATACTATTTTTGTTCGAACCTGTCTTTGGATATATGAAGCAGTCGGTTCGGGTTTTTTTTATTTACAATACTAATAAAAAGTAGTGTTGAAAAGTATCGAGTACTTTGGAATCGACACTTTTAAGCATCGATTAATTTTGAGAGCAGCACTGTGTACTATTTTTTGTAACATTGCAATGCCTAAGACGGGTTTTCACTATGCCAAATTCAATGGCATTTGTGTCAAATCAAAGAAAAAAATTATTTATCGATTAACTTAGATCAAAGAAGGTCTTCGTTTTCTGCCTCACAAGCTTACAGCTCTTTACTCTAAATAATATATGCTCCCAAAATACGTCAAATGAATGTCTAACTATTCTGGCTACAAGTATTGTACTTGAAAACTATTGAAAATTTGAATTGAGTACAATCCTATCTGGATAATGGTAAATGTGAATAGAACTCTGTACTTTTAAGTATATATTCGGCACTTAGTACACTTGATGCTTTTGACACTTTGAATCCATCACAAGTGCAGTAATTAGTTTTTTTTAGTACTAAGTACTTTCGAGTTCTGACCAATTTCGAGTTATTTTTTGGGTACTGAGTTCATTGTAGTACTCATTATCGATGCTTTTAAAAATCGTGTGCTCTCGATCCTTTTGAAAATCTGAGTACTTTTGGTATCGATACTGTCCAACACTAATAAAAAGTTAGTAAAAGAGAAGATGTGTTTCTGTCAGGAGTCCCATTTAATCCCAGATATTCCTTCAGTTTTCTCTGAGGCTTTGCTTTGACATGTGATAAATATGTGATGCACCCACGAATTTACGTTTTGGATGACTCAACGAGAAATCGGGCTTAGCCTGTGCATACAAAGAAGCGATAAATTGTATAAGAGAAAACTATTCCGTCCTGTGGATCAGCAAGATTATAGAAGAAGATTACGCACACTTGGCAAACGTTGCAATAGTTGCAGATATCTCACAAGAGGAAATATGAGCTCATATCATCGAAAGAGAATAATACATATACTATATGGTATCTCAGCACTTACATATATCCCTGGTTTATGAGTAAGGAAAGTCCTTTCAATCTAAATTAATAATTTTTACTTTACTTTATAAACCTTTTATTGTCCTGGTCAACGAGAAAGTTCTTATCGGCCCTCGCAGAGCAAGCGATTGCTGGTCCACAACAAAATCTAAATTTTCATTTTTGCTTGCATCATGAATGAAAACATTTCAAGATTTAAAAGGGAACAAATTTTAAAGTAACCGATTTTTGTTCGCTTGTATTAAGCCCGTTCTTTTACAAAAAATCAATACTAACGAAGAAGATCGATTAATAAATAAGAAAGTTGTGAATGAAATATGAGCAGGAAAGAAAGTTACTCATACGCCATGTACGACTATGCGCTCGTGCAGCCATCCGTATATTTGTGTCTACATAATATGTTACATACATATATCGTTCTTGGTCATATTCCATTCACAACTTTTTTTTAAGTTTGCATTTTTTGAACCATGATGCAAATTAAAATGAATACATCTTTGAAAAATGACCTCATTTAGAAAAACGGTTTACAAATCCGTAATCTATGGCCCAAGATAAAGTTTAGGTGTATCGACGTTTTTTGTGTGTCATTTTAGCGTCTCTACAGCGCTACTCATTTTCCCGTTTAGACAGAGACCAAGAAACTTCGCCACTCGCCCCTCTCCTTTGAGAAGTTCCGTGCTTCCGCACTTTTCGTGGAGACACAAATTTTCGTTGTTGATCCATTTTTGCTCAA